GCCCAACACACCGGGTAACCAAATTTACCACTTTGTTCGGCTGTTCCAAGTACACTTTTAAGATACAAGGTCCGATTATATCATGTTCTTCGAAGCATCTGCTCAAAACAGTCCAACATAAATATCACCACTCATCTTCTTCGTATGAAAATATAAGTTTTCCTTTCAATTGCTTTGCTTTAAAAACAGTCATTAGGTTGTTGAAGAGTTAGGCTAGAACCTCCAACAATAAAAACCCAGATACTTTAAAAAACCAGTGAATCACAATGCTGTAAACTTCAACACCCTTAGAAATTGTAACCCAAACATCGAAAAGCGAAATTCGCGGGAAAAAGCTCACGAGCCCGCACTATTTTTATGCAGCGTCGACGAAAGTCCACCCTGTTCTTGTTCATGACGTCCAGAAAAAATTTGTTCAAAAACCAATCAAAAGCAAGTAAAACAAAAGCAATATCAAAATCATAGAATAAAAATAGGTACGCAGTGTGTACATGTTGCATGCCCTCTCTCCTCCGCAGAGGCTTTAGTTGCCTTTCGCCCTTTCCTTTCCTTCGCCCTTTTCCGCCCGCGCTCCTTCTCCCAGAGGCTCCGCCCGTGTTCTGAGTTCTGCCATGTAAAGTGTAGTGAAATGTATCTCATCGTGATAAATCATAAGACAACTAAAGCACAGAATAACTAAAGTCTCTGAGGAGGAGAGTTGCATTCAGGCCGATTTCCATTCAGTGCAAAATATCGTGAGATCAACTTTTTGCGATCACTTTCTTTTGAAATGCGTTTAGTCAACCTGATCAGTTGCGTTTGATTGCTTGTATTTCAAAAGAAAATGATCGCAAAATGTCGATCGCGCGACATTTTGCACTGAATGGAAATCCGCCTTTATTGCCCACAAGCGCTTATAAATTTTGGTACAACTGGCCTGAAACTTAACATATTGATTCAATAAGTTTAATATCAATATATTTATTGAAAAAAGCTATTATGTCAAAATAACAATTTAACATTTTCAAGCTTTTCGCGACTGTTCATCTGTAGTTGCAAGGGACGGTAATAACAAAGTCAACAGGTCAAGGTTCATCTCTGATTGACTATTCGAAGTAAACAATGTTTATATTTTCCTACAAATTGAAATTGTGGCTTACTGAAAGTATAAAAACCCGTGGAAACCGTGAATTACTATAATAGATTGAAAATAATTATTAAACTATGATCTCGACTATGATTGAAATTATCGAAGTAGAATGCTATTTCGTTGTATTAAATTTCGGTAGACAATACTCAATAGTTCATGTTTATATTCACAGAATGTGATGTAATTTTGAAATTTGAAGTTTTGCACACAATACAATCAGTGCTAGCACAATGGCTTCGTTTCAATTTGGGCATATAAAAACTAGAATTTTGATGGCGCGGCCTTTCACAAACATAAACGCCTGATAATTGATAAATAAATATCAGTGCTAGCACAACGGCACCAAAATAATAACAAATTGTCAAATGACAGAATATAAGCTAAATTAAAAACAGCAAAGCTTTACCTACCTCGATCTATTTTTCTAATGTCTCAATCAATTCCACTGACGGGTGCCCTTTAAGAAGGGCGTTTGTCGGGTTTTTGTCATTTTGGCGAAAAAACGTTGCAAATGCCCCAGTATGGGGTCCAAATAATGCAACAAAATCCCCACCGTTGGGGACATACATTGACGCAAATGCCCCACCCTTGGGGGACAAAATATAAGTTTTCTGATCGAGGATTTCTGATCCAAAAAATCGAATCCAAGCTCTATCACATATCAATATATCTGTATTTAAAATCGATTCTATAGCCATTTCGTTTTAAAACGTTTTTATTTAAAATATTGAAGTCTCAAAACTTTATATAGCAATATCAAACTGCAGAAGTAAGTCAATGTATCAACAGGATGGACAAGAAAAAAGTCTTGTGTATGTCTGCCATGACTAATTTGCGATACGCACGCTCGTGCTCTGCGCTCGTGTACTAAAGTACGGCTAAATGGCGAAACAAGCGATAAATATTCGACTTTTTAGCCTCGAGCAAATTCCCCACCCCGGGGCTAACCTGCAGAAAGCAAATGCCCGACCCTGGGAACAAGTACAGTTGAGAATGCCCGACAAACGCCCGGGGGGGGGGGATGGGCAACCATGGAATTGATTAAGACATAAGGCGCTAAATTACGTAAATTTTCGACGAAAACTCAATATTTTCTTTGCGTTTCCTCGACGAAAGCCGTGAACAAAAGCGTGCATATTGCAATTGAAGTTTCAACTTTCACATACGAATCTGTCACGTGATTTACCACCGCCGGTACAACGCACAACACGACACGAAATTTAGAGCTATATGAAAGTTGCATGCCCATGCAACAAAAAAGTAAAGCCAACCACTGAGCTATAAGAGCTGCAGTCATTTCATTCTCGTACCCAGAGCCCTTCTTACGCGCGGTCAACGGAGCACGAATATGCAGTCACAATCCACTGTCTTTATAGCTCAGTGACTATAGCCCCAGCGAGTTAACGCTCCCTAGAGCGCCTTGTTTTGTGTTTAAATTAGCTGCGCAAATATTTCAAGATTAGAGCCATTTAAATAACACCGCTCAAAAGGGGACTGTGTACATTCGTGATTATCCAGAAAGATTTACCGAGGCGCGACGATCATTGAGGTGATAATTACAAAGTTTAAACCCCTGTCAAACGAAGATGAGAGTTGATTAATTAAAGTTGCAACTCTCAATCAATCAATCAATCAATCAATCAATCAATCAATCAATCAATCAATCAATCAAAACAATTTATTTATCCACGGTAAATCGCGTTTGACCACCAACCCACTCATCGACTGTCGTGTAAGCTCATCAACTCTCATTGACTTTGAACAGGTTCAAATTTTGATGAGAGTTGATGAGAGTTTTCGCTACGCGCGTGATAATATCCAGTCAACTCTCATGCAACTCTTGTTCCCGTTTGATCGGGGCATGAGAGTTGAGAAATCTACTCTGTCCAGTAGATTAACTTAATTATACTGTTATTCTCGCCAAATCGACTGTAGCTGTTCTGATGCTAAAGCCATTGATTTATTTTGTTCCAGGCTAGCTGAAGATTTAATGAACCTTGTTGTTGGATATGGCCTGAAACGTTGTCACATTCTGTGTGTCGCAGGATCAAAACATCAAGATCTCAATTTCCCTCGGATGGTGCTAACGATAGACCTAGAGCGATAAAAAAACAATGCAATGATGATACGGTTGGCAGATAGTGTTAGCCTTCGAAATACAGGAGAGCGCTGACAATTCTACTCAACTGAGTTTTCAAGCATATCAACTCAGTGCAGGGTATAGATGGATATAAGACATACTAATGACTTATTTGTAATTTGGCCAAATTTGGCCGAAAATGTTTGACACAACAGATATGACTTCAGAATATATATGTACTTTCAACAAATTCAATGTTGCCATTATTTGTAACCAACGTTAATTATTATTATTATTATTATTATTATTATTATTATTATTTAAGCTTATTTATTCACGGTAGCCTTTCAGAAGCCTGTTTTTCAAAGGGCCGTGCACACTTACTATAAACTATTATAAGAATATTAAAATTATTAACTAAAAAAAAAACAATCATGCATAATATACTCTATTTACATCGGCAAGGCATAATGCTTTGATATGGTTTGGCAGAATGACCTCCCAATTCAAAAACACAAGCCATCTATTATTTTTTTAAAAGAACAGATGGAAGTTTCAGGTATTTCCGTAATTGGAAGTTTTTCCATTAACATTTGGTTCCATGAAACTGCTCCTCTATAGGAGAAGCTTCGTTTTAAAAAATCCGTCTTAGGTTTTGGTAGGTAAAGCTTTTGATGATTATTTCGTAGTTGGTAGGTTTGGTTAACGGAGACATGAAACATCTGTGTTAAGTATTCTGGAGCCATACCCCTAAGTGCTTTAAATGTCATCACTAATTCTCTCTTTTTTAGTATTGATTGTATTTTTGTCCATTTGAGCATTTGAAAAATTTCAGAAGATCGTTCTTCTAAGCCCGAACTGGTAATGATCCGTGCTGCACGCTTTTGCAATTTCAGCATTTTTTCGGCGTGCATTTTATTACCATCATACCATATAGTTGAACAATAGTTGAAATAGGGGAGTACAAATGACTTATACATCATCTGTAGTGTTGCTTGAGGTACGTAAGGCTTCACTTTTCGTAATTACATAGCTATAGAACAAGAAATCTTTTTAGTTTGTTTTTCAACATGTTTTGTCCATTGTAATTTATCGTCTATTTCTAAGCCTAAGACCTTTTTCTTGTAAACCCGTTTAATTATATGATCTCTAATTTTAATAATAGGGTCATTTCTGATCTGTTTTAAGCGCTTTCCTGAGCCGATTAGCATATACTCGGTTTTTTCTTCATTTAATGTTAATTTGTTTGCATCTAACCAAGTCTTAACGTTTTGGATTTCCATCCCCAATTTGTGTTCAATTTCAAAAGAAGACTCCCCAGTTGCAGTTAAGCTTATAATTGTCACATTTCTTGTGTCTGATGTCTTTTTGTGTGGGGCATAGACTGAAAGTACCCTGCGCATACCTACCATGTACCTACTGAGGCGTTCCTCATGCGGGGCCATTAAATTGAAGAAGTTCACAACTTTGATAGAAATTCCTCTCAGGAAACATAAAAAATGCTCTTCTGAGGCTTCGGAAACGCAAAATTGTTCTGGAGGAACATGGCCCCATGCCACCGAGGCCCAAACACAAAATTTATCAGTCAAAGTTTTGATTAAGACACATTTATTATTTATATATAGTGATACATTTATATAGAATAATGTACAAGAATGAAGTTATTTTTTACAAACAAGTTTTGATACAGATATATACTGGATATGTAATTACCCCCTCTCCCAAGCACCCCGCCCTTCAAGTAGACAGAATACTCAATGTGTAATAACCCCTCCTTTGCAACGCTTATACCCAGCTGCAACAGTTTTACAGTTCATTAAGAAAGCTAGTCTGTTAAAAACGTCTCTCCCATTCAGCTGTGTTTGTATATCAGGCTGCTTAGACGATGTTTCTCCGTACTCGTCATCTGTGCTCATTGTGTCATCCATGTCGATACTCGAGTCTTCCACATTTCCTCTGCTCATAAACGCCATTATGTTCTCACTCAAACTTCTGCCCTGCCATGTGGGTAGGCCAGCAGAAACCATCTCAACTCGGTTCATCAAATCTCCCACACTGGTTTTGCAAACTGGTTTCAACTTGGCGAAGACACACTGGGCTATGTAGGCAAGGAGTGTGCAGAATGTAGCAAAGCACAACGGACCCGGCAGGATTACCAACAATGTTGTCAAGCCGAGACCAATGATTGTGCCTTGAATGAACAGCAAGCCAGTGAGCATCAAGAGGAAAAATCCGAGTACGATCGCCAAGAAGATTGCCACTGGGATGCAACTGCTTACAAGGAGTAAACCAACGAATAAGCTTGTGTTTGGTCGCTTTTCAACTGATAAACTGACGCGCAACGTTTGTCATTTCCATTTCTGAGAATTTCTCAACAACTTCCAACAACGACAAATAATTTCGCAATTAAAATTATTACGTCATTAATCCAAATTGCTACGTTCCTAATGAGTGTCGCGCGTGTACATAAATGTCAGTGTCTCGCCACAGAATAGAAAATAGACCAGAAGTCTCACTGTACACCTTTCCCTAACATTTTCGTGTCCGCGATTTTTGCCTTGCGGATCAAGAATTTCGCACGCTAGATGACGTGTCTGACACTTGCTGCGAACATCACGACAGCGTTCGTCAGCGTCAATTCCTCAAATCAACGGTTTTTCTTGAAATTCGCAAAACATGCTCAAAGTGTACGCTGCATATTCAATTATTGTGCAAATATTTTACGCTTTTGTTTTTTTACGTTGTGTCTTTCTGTTGCGATGCATGACCCATTATTTGGACCTGTGGCATTTAAAAACGGTTAAAACAGCAATCTTTATTACCTAGTGATGGCAATTGATGGCGTTGCTTGCGTTTGATGGCGTCGTGATTACACTTGCTGGCTCGCGCTTGCGCATAAAAAATCTCGGACATAATTTTGGCTAAGTGAGACTTCTGGTCTATTTTCTATTCTGTGGTCTCGCCCCTAATGAATTAGGATTGCGCATGAATGAAAATGCACTTAATGTCGTTTGCCTTTTGGACAGTTATATTCAATAGACTCGCGTGAATAGACAAATTTGGCTAATGTTATTTACACGAGGTTGAATTTGTCTAAACAATCGATATGCCAGTGAACTCTATAAATACTGCAATAACTCCAGGTAAATGGCCCTATGATTGGGCGAAGCCAAGATGGCTGCCAATACAAGGCCCGTGTATTTGACGTGGACTTCGCGGGAGCTGAAAAATGACTAAGGGCCTGTTCATATGGGCAAAAGTTATCCCGGTTAACGAGAAAACTTTTCGACTAGCCAAATACTTTTGTTCTGTTCATATGGAGAAACTTTATCCCGCTTACCGGGTAAAGTTTTCGGCTGTGACGTGGCACTGAACATCAATTGAATTGAAAAATTGCTGACACGACAGAAAGTTATCCCGCTAAGCGGGAAAGTTGTGTTCATATGGGAAAAACATTATCCCGGTCACCGAGATCTCGCCTGTCATATGAACGCAGTGTAACTTTTCATATTATTTTCATACCAAGGCGAGATCTCGCTTGTAAACTTGTCGAAACGTTTTCTCGCTAACCGGGATAACTTTTGCCTATATGAACAGGCCCTAAAAGGTCTAAGGGTATCCGATCGAGGTTTTTCAATTTTTGTACATACATGCTCATTTTCAATGGTAAATTAGCTAAACGTTAAATGTAAATGTAAGGTTGATGCAACTGCACTCCATATTATTCTGTTAGAGGCTGTTAAGTTCTGGCAAAGTAAAAATCTGTTTTACTCAATCACAGAAATGTTTCAAAACATATAACTGGGAATCATAAATATTCAATATATTAATTATAATAACCTTAGCATTATAGGTTCTCGATATACCCTGACATAAAGCTGCAGTGAATTGCACAGTAAATGTGCACAACTTTAACAGAGTCTTTAATAATGAATATGAATATATATATGTACAATAAATAACACCATAAAACCACTAAAAAAAAATGCCATAAATCTAAATATACACAGTGGCACACACTTCGCAAAATATTGGAGGGAAGGTGAGGGAATTTATGTTGTCACTATATGACCGCGTTTGCTGCTGAAAATCTTAATTGCCCTAATTCGATGCAATGTATAACTCGATCTATAGCCTACATGCTTTCATGGTCGAAAAATAATTGTCATATCTCTTTGTGTTACACAGTTAAGCGCCGGTCAAATAGCATGACGCATGAGAGTTGGCAGTCACCGATTTTTGTTACTGGGGAGTTTCCCTTGATAGTGTCCCCTAGTAGTGTCCTTTTCTTGCATTTGTATTTACCTTAAGGCCCCTTGACACTTGTAATCTTTGCTGCCATTTCTAATGCGATTTTCTTCTTGTAATGCATGTGAACTAGTAGATAAGTTATGAATGTAATGATGGAACCCCGTTATTGGAGATTTATCTCTGCGTGGTCATTGTGTAATTCATAGTTTATATCTTTGAGAATGGCAAACTTGTAAAATAAAATAAAATAAAATAAATGTTCAGATGAGGATACTCAGAACATTCATCAACCTCGTACCCAGGTTCTCAATCGTCGCTCCTACCTCGCTTGAATTGAGACCCTGCAGGGTGCGATAATTCGCGTACCAACGTACCGGAGGTACGCCAAATTTATGGTCTGGTACTTCTTTGTTTTTAGGCAAGTACCACGTAGGTACGCGGAAATTTGCTATTCGCGTACTTACATTTTCTTTCTAGCAATAACTAGCAAACCTGCCAAAGTATTCAAAACCCGTGAAGAACTTTAGCTGTACATGTAAATTCCACGCATCCGACATATTTTGGGATGAAAAAAGCCAAAAGGTTATCTTTGCGCTTGATCAAAAAATTTATCGTCATCGTCCGACTGAAAAAAATCGCTCGGGTGAGCGATTTTAAAATCGTTATCGTCAAACGCCGATAATGCCAAAACCATGGAAAAAAATATTTAAAAAAAATTTTATTTCCGACCTACCTACCCTAATTTTTTCGCGATATGAAACCGGAACCACAGCCACAGGTATTTTTTAGACCCAATGAGGAAAACTACACTGTATGTAGCTGAGGTCAGACTGGTAGCACCCTCGGTAAATCCATTGTAAATGAGCGATGGCATTCGAGTCACAACGTCGACGCTTTGAAAACTGTTGTATTATGTTTGTACAAATACCATAATTAAAGATTCATTTGTACAAAATTGTCCATACATTTTTTGCTTTTGGACCAGTAAACTATAGGTATAAAAACGCATGACTCGAAAATAGTCTTAGGTACGTCTTGACTCTTAAGTTTGTACCAGACCAGGTACGCGGCAAAAGTTGTCGGAGTACCAGTCAGGTACGGCTAAAAATATTGAATTATCGCACCCTGCCCTGGTATCGGCTGGTCACCTGACCCGTCATATTTTGGCGCATTTGCTCAATTGTTTTTAGGGAAAGGATAGTAACTGAGATGTTTTGTTTTGAAATGTTATTTTAACAATATTGTTTACTACAATATCTACTTACTATAATTTCCCTAAGACAATTGAGCCAATCCGCCAAAATATGACGGGTCACGTGACCGGCCGATACCAGGGTCTCAATTTAAGCGAGGTAGGAGCGAAGATTGAGAACCTGGGTACGAAGTTGAACATTCATAACTCATCTACTCGCTCAAATCCATCAGAAGAAGAAATTCGCACTATACGGTAAACGGGCCTTTAGGATCGGACCCCTGATGTATGTTATCTAAATTAGTTTCGTCTTATATTCCTAAAAGTACTATTAAGATTCTCAATGCACTGAAATCATTTTTTGCTGTTAAAGTATAGCATTAGTGTCACACAGTTACAGTGTCCGAGTGTTGATTTACTTGATTGTTTGGAGGACATTTTCAACGTTCTCTCGCGTTCCCAGAAAGTAAAATATTTTTTCCACTCTTGATCAAATGTTTTCGAAATTTATCCTCCCCCCCCCCCCTTCAGTGCCACTGCATGTATATACATGTGCTAACTAAAATCTAAAAGACGAAAGCTAAGTATTGACAGTAGCAGAGATCTTACTTCGAATGCCTACAGGTTGCACCAAGGCTAAAATGAGCAATATAAACAATGTTATCGCTGCTAATATTTTGAGGACAGATTTTTTGTTAGTCACCGATGTATTGTCTTTGATGGGCGGCTTTTCTTCTCGTGTTGGCTTCATTTCTGAGTGTTTTGCCTCTTTCCTAAAGAGACAAAGGTTAAGGTGATTTAATATACAGGGTGTCTCAAAAAACGAGACGTTTAGAAACCGAGCTATTGTTGTTAAGCACAAGATTTTATGCTCCTGAGAATTTAAAATAGCTTCTAAAGGAACATACACTTAAAGCCTGGTTCACATAGAAACGAAAACGAAACGAAACGTGTTTCTGCTGGGGTCAACACCGTAGGCTAGAGCTAGGTTCACATATACCTGCGATATGTCGGCGGGCTATTATCGTTACCACTTCATCCAAATAATTCACAAAAAGAATGCATGCATCAACAGCTGTGCACGATAGCGCATACAGGCATATGTGAACCACGCTTTAGCCTGGTTTCCATGATATGCGGTTGTGTCGCGAACGTGTCGCCAAGTGTTCGTCGTGAATGGTTTTTATGCTTGTTTCCATATATCGTCATGACATGTCCTTAGCCTGTCGCAACTGTCGTCGAGATAAAACTCGAGTCTATCTCGACGACACTGTTGTAAATGTCGTGAACTGTTGTCAGCGTATCGCGACAAAACGTTTCTTCATGTGTTTCCAGTTAGTCGCGAACACTACTCTCACCTTGCAACACGCCTATATGAAACCATACAGGCTTTAAAATAAAACTGCATAAAAATTGTCAGATCAGGGCTTAAAAAATAAATCAGAAATGCCGTACGAAGTCGTACTAAGTTGACGTACGTTTAATCGTTGTTGACGTACGATTTTGTATACTATAGTTTTCGTATAAAATTCCCGTATAGAAAATTGCGTTTGAAATGCTGGATTTAAACCGGGATTCGAGCAGTGAACTCAATGTTTCTGGATCAATGTTTCATTGTTATAAATATCACAGCATATGGATATTTCAGAATCAGGGTTAGAGGCGAATATTTGTTCATTGTCTGAAGGATTTTAAGACAAGCAGAAAGGTAATATAACGGTTCCGCTCTGATCCTGCTCTGAAGTAGGAAGTGTACGCGACCGCAACTGGCTGAAATTCGTGGCGTATACGCCAAGCTAATTTCAGCGTACAATCATAGGTCCGTACGCCCATTTTTTAAGCCCTGCAAATTACTAATCAGTCATAGACAGAGCAACGAGTTTCTACTGTTTTACGCGCTGCGTTAAATTAATCTGCACACAATTCATATGTTGGACTACAAAACAAACGAAACTTCATCATTCATAAAATTCACTTCTGTGAGCATAGTGATACTGTATGTCGTAACAATCGTAAAGATTGAGTAAGGATCTTTCTCATCAGCCGAAATACAATATTTTAAAACTGAAAATACGCGGAGTGATTATAACTAGAGAATACTTACGACAGGCTTTCTCGGCATCCTTGTGTAGAAAAGTGGGATAAAAGTAAGACTAGAATTTTAGGAAAAGTAGGAATAAAGTATAGCGGGAAAATGTATAGAAAAGTATGACAGAAGTAGGAGTTTTTGGAGATGCAAATAACACAAAAATATACAAAATTGGCCCCCAAGGATATATGTGGTAGGGGGTGGACCATCAGATATCTGATGGGGAAGTTGTGTGAATTTTTGGGGCTCAATATTTTTTGTACTCGTTCATCTATGCCGGATTTTTTTCTCTTAATATCTGTGGTCACCATCACTTATCCGTGTGGATGGTTAATTGTAGGTGCAGACCGTGATCAGCTAATGATCTACAGATTTGAGTTACTTGATTCAGGTCCGAATCACGTGAACATGTCCATTCAGGACCTGACCACCGAGCGTCTGCACCTTATCACACCTAGCCTATATCACACCGAACTAAGTATTCGATGGAAATTAAACCGAAAGTCAATTGTCGTCATGAAAAAAAATTGGCTTCTTCTGTAAGCAGATTACTATTGCAGTTGGCTATGAATTAGCTAATGACCGGTGGGTCTACTTGGCACTCTATATCCGATATCCTGAGGGCACATGTCGTACCCAGACTGCGTGCGGTTCCGTATCATGATATTAACCTTGGTTACTATGTAACCTCATAAAACTTTTAAAATTAGATATTAATATAGCTAAGGTATCTGCTCTGCAGCAACACAATTCAAGTGCGTTATGCATGCGAGTGCATGTATTTGGCTGCTCGGAAAATGTACTTCTACTCTTCCTGAGATTTTATTATCAGGGACACATGTGCAAAGAGGGAATAAAAATTACGAGTCCTATAGATATAATTAATTACGAGTGCTATAACATACTAGCTGATTTCCCAAGGATTTTATAAGAAAAAGTAGGAAAATCAACAAATTTTAATAGAAAATAGGAAAAGTAGGAAAGTTGAAGAAAAGTAGGAAAAAGTAGGAGAAGTAGGATGGCAAGGAAGCCTGTTATGATTTATACGTGGTTTTCAGGTATATAAACTATTATTGTATAAACTGGCCGTTGAGAAAGATCGTGACTTTATTTTTACGATTATTGATACGACCATACGGAAACCAGGCTTAAGTTCAACGCAGCGCGTAAAACAGTCAAATCTCGTTGCTCTATGGTCAGTTTAAAACACGCGTACTGTGGTGCATCCTCGTCCCCAGGCCCAAGCTCGGGTGAGGGCCGCCCGAGCTTGGGCCTGGGGACGAGGATGACTGTGGTGTAGGAGTGTTTTAATTATCATATTTAAAATGCGAGCACAGCACGAGCATTTTAGATATGATAAAACACGAGTACCAAGTGTTTTAATTTTAAACAGCTTCAAACACGACTATAGAATGGATGCCGTCTCATCAATATTCTTTATTAAAGATTACTAATTAGGATGGGCTTTGATGTAAAGAACACTAACGAAGATGAGTAAGCCTCTTCGCGTGATATATTTTGGTTGACATGATAAGCCTCTTCACGCGTTATATATTATGGTTGCCAATAAGCTTATATGAATTATTAATGATGTTTGAAGCAGTTATAATGTTGTTTCTCCTTCTGACAGGAGTCGAACTAGCGATTTCACAACCTCGTTCTCAGGGCTTTTCCCTTTTTGTCATTGGGAAGGCGGGAAAAGGCCCTGGGATCGGCTGGTCACGTAACCTCAAAATACCCACATTTTGTGGGTATTTT